CTAAAAAGGACAGAATCTATATAACTTACACATATTTCTCATAAGATTTATCACTGTCCAGAAACAGAAATATTATTCATTATTCTGAAGGCACCATCACACAAAAAAGGACTGACACACAACATTCGGAATAGAAGCCTCCCTCACAGGCTCTGCTCCTCAGGGAGCTGTGGGGCAAACATCCAGAAGCATGTAGTGAGTGTCTCAAGGCTCAGTGGCACAGTCACCAAGCCACATCGTAGGGCTACTAGGTTGGGACAGTAGGGATGAAAATGGAGGAATGCAAAGTACACACAAATCCCACTGAATGATTAGATGTACATCTGAGTACAGGTCCACCATCAATGCAGTTAAATATGCTAGAATAATGATCCGAACCAACAGCGTGGAAAGGATGACCAGTGTTTCCACAGGCCACTCCTTAATCCTGACATGTTCTTGAAGAGGAACAGCCTTGAACTGCTGACCACCTCTCTTTAAAGACATATCCTCCCCCACTCATTATAAATAATGGCTTTTTCATGGAAAAAAAAAATCCCAACAAGGCACTGTGAGCTTTTGGGGATATTGTATAAGTAGCTGAAAAATTAACTACTTATAGGAATGGTATTCCAGTACAAGCATTCATGTCCTTTTTGGAAATGCAAACAAGATTACATTAAGGGTTAAAAATATGTTTTATAGGGTGCATGTGGTTTTCATGAAAAATACAGGCAACTGATAAGATGCTTTAAAACCATACATGTTGCTTACAAAGTCACCCTATTTTTTGTTCTTTTCCCAGCTCAGATTTGGAATTCAGTCTCTGAAAAATGTTCTTATGATACTTAATGTATTATTTTTCTTCCTTGCCAAAAAACATATATAAAATATTCTCCTTTGGGAACCAAAAAAAGAAATCTTTTCATGTTCACAGAATTAAAATTATTAAATTCTGTGATGATTCTTTGGCTTGCGTGTTCTACGTATCAGGGTGCTTACTCTTGTTAAGGAATTTACAGTGGTTAGGAGAGGACAAGAGTGTTCCTTCCTTGAGGACCTTACCAGGTTCAAAAGTGAATGCTTCAGGTTCACAGGACACTAAACACTTCCTAGTGTTGATTAAAAAAAATAGAGATTGATAAACCTTAGCTAAAATATCCTTAGCTATAAATCCAAAGGAATTTAGTCATAGGTTACACTTGATTAGGCTACATCAACAAAATTATGAAAAGAATTCTGTTTTCCTATCAGTGGAAATAATGAACATGAAAAACTAAAGTTGAAAGAAAAACCCATATGGAAACAGAAGAATAAATAGCTTCACACTCCCTTTGAAGAATAAAAATAAATCTTAGACCCAGGTCCATTTTATTAACAATATGTTTCTATAATCTCTTGACATTACAAGTAATTTTTACAGTGAAATTTCACATTGAAGACAAATACTGTTTGGCTTAGGGAGCAGAAAGCTGAGTAACTTACATCCTTTATAACAGACACTGTATTTCAACAGTTTAAGAAAACCTTTACACTTTCGGATTTTAGACTCAGTGTATAAATTATTTCTTTTTCAGGAAATTGAAATTGGTAAGAATTGCGGGAATATAAAGACATATGGCTCATTTGGGAACATGAAGCCTAGAACAAAGTCAAGCTTCCATAACTCATAAACCAAAGATGAAACACTCTGGATTCCTCTATCCTAAACTGGCGCTGTTACTTTTCACTTTTCTCCTACCATGAGCTAAGTCCTAATTAAAATCAAAGTTGCTGAAGAGTAAATGATAAACCAAGTTAGTAAAGTTGTCCTTAATTCCTGTCTCAGTGTTTCTTAAAATACAGATGTGCTTTCTGCAGCATTCCATTTTGGCTGCCTCAAGCACCAGCACATGCAGTTTGCAAATCGATCTGTATAGTAAATAACTGTTTTCTGATATTTATATGGAATAGAAGCTTGACCAAACCCAGCCCCATTTTGAACAGCCAAAGGAACACAATTCAACGTAAGATTACAAAGTATCTCTGTTAAGCTACAGTTAAACTGTAGCCAGTAAAGAATGTGACAAAGGAAGACTGCTGGGGGCCAACATGCAGAGGCATTTTCAAAAATACAAGCTAGGACTCAGCAGTCACTAACAGAATACGGGGGTGGGTGGGTGGGAAGGCTTCCTTGCAACCATTTGTATGTGGGATAGTACACACACTGACGGAAGCTCATCCTTTATTGGGCTTTTGTTCTCAAAATACACAACTAAGCACATTGTAAGGCTTCTAGCTTCATAAATAACTTGTAAGTAATAGTATTATAATATGTAAGCACTTCTAGGAATTAGGAAAACTCCTAATTCCTCAGAAGAAGAATGAATCTAATCCTCTTTGTGCAGAATGACAGGGACAATAAACATGGGGCTTCCACGATTCTTACCAAACTAAAAACAGCTCAAGTCATTTATCACAAGACTAAATTCACTTATGTATTACTGTAAATTGCACCAGACATTAAGGCAACAGTTTCTCTAAAGGTCAGTAAAGCCTGTTCATATTGAGTCTCTAGTATTCAAAGCCATTTCTCACCAGCAGCATGTTTCCTCTCCCGCTGATACCCCTGTTCCAAATGTAACATCATCAGATTGAAGTAAAATATTACAAATATGACTAATTTAAGAAAGAGAAGTGTTACACAGTACTGAAAACCAAGTAGACTACGTACGGGCTTTTAAAATTTTAAATAAACTTATTCAAAATGAGTTAAGAAGGCTCACATAATGTTCTTCTGACTTGAACTTTTATGAAGCCATTTCCATATACTTCAGAAGTAAGAGGCATGGTTTAAGTGCTTCTGTGCATATTCATGAACTCAGTCCTCCACAGACACTAAGTCTATACTGAGGCACCTCCCAGAAGTGGGTGTGTAAAAGTGGGGAAAAGCTTCCTGATTCACTACATCAGAGCAACACGGTACTGATGAATGTTCTTATGTTTGAAAATGTTCCCTGTAGAAACGAGTCCAACTACAAAATGTAGTTGTCATTATAAAATCAAGGTTGGGAGTCCTGCACACACTGAAAAACAAAGACATAAACCACTAATTGCCTTAAGGTTCATGTATAATAGTAAACACAATTAATTTCAGATGTTACATCGACAGTTTCCCAATAACAAATACAGATTTCCAAGGCTGCTGAAATCTGAACTCCTTGGAAGAGAATGTTATAACAATCACATGCAAGGGGATGAATCTGCTTATGAATCTATTTTATTTTGAAAAATTTCTCAGAAACATGTATATACTTCCAGTGAGATACTAGTACCTTATTAAATTTTATATTTTGATCACCAATTAGAGAAATTACCTTCATGAATAGATGCATTTTATAAAGCTGAGATTGTTATAATGCTAGAGGCAATTTTCTCATCATATGTCCACTTCAAATATTAAGGGCTTCAAGCAAAGATCTCCTGAAAATTCTATAATTAAAAATAAATCACCAATGAAGAGAGGCAGCTTCTAAAAAATAATTATTTAGTTTTTGTTGTTAAACTAATATTTAATTTTGATTTGCTTACAGATTAAAGTTTATTAGTTTGAGGCCAATTTTAATAGTTAAAAATTATTTATCATTTTGAAGTTTTAAAAATATCATTTTGTCAATTTTAAATTTTCATTTTTTTGGTTAAGGCTACTTAAGATAGAAAAGGTATCAAACTGCCCAAAAATACTTTGGAGCTGTTGCTACACAGAGTGTCCTTTTAAAGGATCATCTGCATTTTGACTTACATTATCTGATCAGTTATTAATTTTAAAAAATTATCAAAAGTTAGGTATTGCATTAAGAAAAGAATCCATCTCAAAATGTGAATCATGAACCTTGACAGTGATTCAAAGTAATCATTTCTCTTATTTTAATATCCAGGTTTAAATGTAAAAATGCTTGCTAAATGTGATTAATGTCATTATTTAAGAAATAAGATATCTCAAACTTTTGATTATGATACGTGGATATGCAATAATACATTACATTTTTTTTTAAGTTTAGGTTAAACCAGTAATTCAAAAAGGCATTAAATCATTATTAAAAACTAAATCAACAATTTAATTTTATATGAAAATTTATCATGCTATTTGAGTTAGTTTAAAAAATAAAGTTGTCATTGAAACGTTTGAGGCTTTCAAATTCAGTAGCTAAATGACTATTTTTTCAGACAAACAATTCTTCCAACTGGAGGCATCATCTGTAAAAAGACTTCCTTCTGCCCCGGTTGTGGCTTCTTCTGCGTCTCAGCAACAAGAATGTGAAATCAGAAACATTAGGACTCTCAGTTAAATAAAGGCATTCATTTCCTGGTAAACCTTGTTCTTCACTTACAATGAGTGATAAGTCAGATTTTCTTACAAAACATATTATAAATGAACTTGGATGTAACAATAGGTTATCTCAGTGATACAAATCAGCTCATTTCTCAGAAGAAATAGAAACAGAGAAAAAGATGTCCCCTAACAGAATAATTTGTATACTGCTGATTTACGGTTTTATACCTATTTAGTAATTTCAAACAAAAATGTAGGCCAAGCACCTTACAGAACCAAAACCATTCTAAATAAACTATTCTCTCTATTCTTTCATGAATATCCCCTTAATGGCCTACTCACACTAGAATATGCTCTTAATAAACATATACATGTATCACTCCTCAGTGGAATCGCCTTCCCTAGATAACTGCTTCCCAGAATGTTCTTTTAAGAAGATATTAGATGAGCAATAGATGACACCAAATCTGCCTTTGTTCCCCAAGAGGAAGCATCAGTATAAAACAGCTAGCAGCACCTTCCTCCAAAATAACTGACAGCCTTGAACTGCTTCACTAAAATTTGAAATGACAACCAGTTGGGTTGTAAACTGATACACCTACAATGAGAGATTTAGGAATACCATCTGTCAATCCATAGATGTAGAAACAAAACAAACTACAGAATGAAAACACACTTATTTTAAATCAACAAACACATGTAGCCAAAATATAGTCCATGATATATTTGATTACTGGTATAACCATAGTTGAAGGCTTTAAAAAAAAGTGACCTTGTTTTAAACGATACTAATCGATTTATAAAAGGTTTCTGTTTCCAAAGATGTTATTGGGGTCCACATATTCCTTGACAGACTTCAGCATCCCAAAGCCGACATCAGAGATACTTTCCTTTAGCCACTGCTTCCGTAACTTGCCCACTGGAAAAACAAAATCAAAAATGCTTCAATATACACTATGATGCTGGGAACTAATCAATCTTGTGACCACGAGTGAACAAACACTGTGTGATAAATGCTTTTATTCAAAAATGAGAAATGTTTTGCTTTATTTGATTTATTGAGCCCACCAGACTATCAAGCTCATTAAGTCCAATGTATTCCCAGGGGAAGTCTGTGCTGCACGGTGTCTCCTTTCTCTGTAAACTATGAAATGGAGATTGAAGGAAGGCTGGAGTGAGATTACAGCCCATTTTACAAATAACAAGATGAGAAAAACATGCATTTCAAAAGAACCCATCTCTGTCCTAACTATCAAAATACACCAAGTTTCAAAGAAAATGAAGTTAACTGAAGAAAAACATACAGAGACAAATTTGTTGTTTATACTTAACAAAAATGACAGGACATGTATCTTTTAAGTATTTTTATAAGCACAAAACCTTTTAAAAGTAAGAAAATGTGAATCTATAATAGGCTTTAAAACATCTGGTTATAAAGCTTTCCAGTTATACAGTTTTAAATAAATTTGCATGTTCTCACATAATGGCCACTTTCTTCCTATTAGGTTCCCAGATTGAGACATTTTTTTTAAAGCACTAAATAAATCAAACACCTAACCCCTCTTAATCTTTTGCTTTTATATACTATATACAGTTCCCCTTTTTTCTTTCTAGGTCTGGCTAGTTTGGGACTATGAAGTAACATAATGGTTAGCAGTATAAATTATATTTTAAAAGGCACTCAGTGGAAAACATAACCTTTGCTAAG